CACCGTAGGCTGCGCCGGACGCGGGAGAATGTGCACCAGCTGCTTGCCGCCCACGCTCTGCAATGTTGAACTGTTGGGTGTTTGAGTGGCTGGCGCTGAAGAAGGCGCGGCAGCGTCAGCGGAGGCGGCGGAGGGTACCAAGCCAAGATTGGGATTCTGAGGGGCGGGCGCAGCGTGATTAGAAGCCTGGATGATGACGATATGTTGACAGGGCGCCGGGTTGCTCGCTTCTTCTCTCATGACCGGCTGGCTCGGGCAGGAGTTCGCCTGCTGCAGAATGACCACGCTGGGGTTGTTGTTGTTGTTGCTGCTCTGCGGCGCCGTGGCCGCCGCGCCGCTCGCTTTGACCTGCAGCACCTGCATGGTCTGGAGGAGCGGCAGCACAGCGGCCTGCGGTTGCGCTCGAGGGATCAGCGCCGCCGAAGGGTGGGGAACGAGCGAGGCGGGCCGGAGGACGGCCGACTGGGTCTGGGAAACGACGGCGGGATGGGCCACCACGGCCGGCTGCGGTAGCACGGCGCACTGAGGTTGCGGGGCGAGGACTGGGACGGCTGGGCGCAGCTGTGGCGGGTTTGCCTGAATATGCGCGGTGACGGCGGCTTGTTGTGCAGGCGCAGGAGGAGGCTGCATCTGGATTTGAATCTGCTGAACCGGAGGAGGCTCGGCGCCCACGGGACACACCGTCACCTGGCGGACAGCCTGCGTGGTGCTACCAAGACTCTGGCAGACGGGCTGCACCGTGTTGCCCGCCATCTGCAGCGTTGTCCACGTGGTTTGCGTGCTGCCCGCCGCCCCCGCTCGGAGAAGGGCTTGACTGTTGGGGATGCCAGTGTAACTTACAGTCCTGAGGGCGGTGTCCCTCACAGTCTGATTTATTGTGGCGAGACAGGAGACGGGCAGCGGAAGCGGAGACGCTGAAATCGGGGCTACGTTGGTCTGGGCGGAGGCGGCGGGCGGGTGGGGCAACCCGGCGTTCACGGCGGGGAGCTGGAGGGTGATGTACGACACGGAGGGCGGCTGAGGCGTCTTCTCGACAGCACGCTGCTCCACCAACGCGAGGCCTGCCGTCGACTGGGCGACGCTCGAACCGGAGTGAAGCGACGCGGCGGAAGTCGTGACTTGGAGCAAGGCTCCGTTCACCCTCACGCTTGCGCTCACCTCCAAAGGGGGCTGAAGGATTATGGTTTCCGAGGGCTGCTTCCCGGGGGCGCTCTCTTTTCCCGCGGGGCACGTCACGTTGCCGTTGGAATAGACGATGATGCCCTTGGGCAGCTGATGAGTGGGGGTCACTTTGGCCACTTTGGCACAGCGCCGCTTGCCCTTCCAGTGGACCGTGGGGTCTTCGAGGAAATTGATGTCGTGGGCTTTGAGGAGTTGGATGTAGTGGGCGCTCTCCTTGCGAAGCTCCTCGCAATGATGCCGCAGTCGGCGGATCTCCTCCGCTGTGGAAGCCAAGAACATACCACCATTTGTCCCATGCCCAGGCTGTATCCAATTACACAAAAATACTTCCACCCTAATAAATAAACGCACGAAAAGATAATGAGACCAGAAATCGGTTGTGTGAATTTTATTCTGACAGATATCACAATCAGGAAAACCTCTCGCTCTCATGTGTCAAAACAAAATATACGCCTGCTTTCATATAAAATGCCTGTTCTGCTACTCTTAAAGGAAAAATAACATTTAAAAAAAAAAAAAGGGATTCATGATCAGCATAACAATTTGTTGTCTTCTGACATGATCTAATCTTTACCTTGGACTTTATCACCGCCTTCCAGGAGCAGTGTGTCATTTTGTTTCTTCAGCTCCGTGATGTAGCGAAAGGCCTGGTCCAGGATCATGTTCTTACTCTGCATCCACAGGACAAGGGTGAGTGAACTGAATTGAAGTTACAATAGCAATCGAATGCGTTTTACCTGTTTCAGAGCTTGTGAACACGGCAACAGATTGCCGATGCGGTTGATCCCTGCATTTATCTTCTCTTTGCGGTGCCGCTCAACTGAATACAAGAGTGGAAATGTAGGTGACCGCAAGGTCAAGACAGGTGACATTTAAACATTTTGAATATTTTACCAGCATTGTGGGATTCTTTGTTTTTCTTCTTTCTGCAAAATAGTTGGGAAACAAGGCTGATTATTTAACAGGACGGGTTTTTTTTTTTTAAAACAGCGGTGATAATTCAAATAAGATTTACTTTGGTTTTCGACCAGTTGTCTCGGTTTCAGTGATCTCAGGCATCCTTTCCCAAACTGTTGCCTGACAGGCTGGTTAACACACCCTCACCAGTTTGACCTGAGATCCTTCCTGTGGCCGTCCTGCAATGCAAACAGCCATGCATCAATATCCACGATGACACTCCATGCAGAAAAGAAATTAAAAATACTGTACATTGAAGAACTTCTCCCAGGGTGGCTCAGAAACAACCGTTGCCCCCATTAAAATATGCAATGCTTCTGCAACCCCCAACCTTTAGATAGCATTGCAAGTACTCTTGACTCATTTGCATGCGTTTGTACGCAAGGTGTGACAAAACGCGTATTCTGGATATTGTGCAGTGGCTTTATTTAGTTAGCACACTGTTGAATCAAAAACAAATTAAGTAGCAATATGTGCTTACCCCGGCTAGCTCGCTAATGATTAGCCTAGCTCAATTTTTAACCCGAAAACGAGCGCCGTTTCGTCGCTACTCCGCTGACAAAACGCTATTATAAGAGGGCATGTTCCCACCCACCTGTAGTTTGGACATTTTATTTAGGTGTCAGCGCCAACGACAACTTCAGAGAGATGTTTGAGAAGCTAACTGTGTGCTAACTCCCTAGCATGCTATTTCAACCCAGCTCTCAAAACAATCCGAGCTGGGAAAAGAGGCGGACGCCTAGGGAAAACAGCCAATCAGATTTCAAAGCATGGGCGAAGTAGCCAATCAAAAAGCGCGTATGGATGCGCGTAAGTCTCAACCACTTTTGTATGCTTGTGTAGTCTTCATTTTTTATCCTCCGGAAATTTAACGCAAAACGAGTTGCAGGATATTTAATTTCTTGGTTCGCAGGCTGTTCTAATACTTAATTTTCCTCACGAGTCTTTCTGTTTGTTTTGTTTTCATACTTCCAATTCGTGTGCATCTTGTGCTGGAAGAGGAAACGTGTCATAACCATAAAGCCGGAAATTGAAAGACACGGCAAAGTGGTAAAGTCAACTAAATATCGATACCATCTCTGATCCCTCACAGGGTGAGTAATTTGTCTTCCTTCCATTATACTTGTATCTTGACGACAGACATCATCTTTACTGCAAATAGTAATTCATTTATTTAGACGATAAAAAGTCATACAATATAGAGCTCCAGAAAAAGATAAAATTCTTCAAAGAAAGAAACCATGCTTATTCTACAGTAGAGAGGACACAAGTCTCCTTGCATGCATTCGGAGTCAGAGCTTCCTCTGGGTAAAACACGCTCGCAGGCACGCACCCACCCACACACGTTCGCACAAGAGCTTCAAAAAGAAAAACCACAAGCTGACCACTTCTGCGGCCAATACTCGGCAGGAAGTTGTTGGGGGGGCGACCAGCTCTGCCGTGTCGCCCTCCATTAGAAAAAAAAAGTGTTTCCCCTTTGCAGAAGAACGCAATGACATTCAATACTATTTCCCAAACCCAGGAGAACCTCTGAAACGCTCAACCTCTGCAATGTGAAAAATAAAACCAAACAAAAATCAAAAAAACAGCTAAATGGGTTATAAATGAATTTCAAACACACCACCACCTTGTTAACTGTTTCTCATGGCCAACGGAGAAAACATTCACCCCCACGCCCCACAAAAAAAAAAAAAAACACACAAACCATCATGTGCGGTCTTTTAAACCATTTCAAAACCAGAAACGAAGGATAACAGCCCCCTGTCCCCACTTAACATTTTAGAACTGCATCAAAACCAAGTCACGCACAAAGTACGCATTGCAAACACCATACTCAGGTTGTCAATCGGAGGAGCACTTTTTTGGACACTTTGTCAATCAGCTGTATGAGGAAACAGGGGTGAGGGGGGTCAATCCAAATGTACTCATTTGCCAAGCGTTTTTTTTTTCTTCTTCCCCAATTTTGTCTTTGAAAGCATCCTTGTGGGGGGGGTGGGAGCGTTTGTCACAGATCTTTTATGCGCAGGTCAAGTGTGCTGGTTTTTCCGAAAAGCGGGTGATGCCCGCCTGCCCGTCGGTCCGCCCGTCACCCCCTCCACTACTCCGTCTTCTGAAGCTCTCTGCTCGACGATACACTCGGGCTTCGCAGGCTTTTCTGCAGGACGTGTGCGTCTGCCGGCTCTATCCTCTTATAGTAGTTCTTCTTCGTCTCGATGATCTCAAAGCCGAACTTTTGGTAGAAGTCGATGGCCGACTCATTGCTGATCTGCACGTGACTGGAGGAATGGTTAAAAAAATGAAAATCTGGAGTTAGAATAAAGTAGTGTAACAGTCATCCTATTGATTAATCAAGTAATTGGATTAAAAGAGTTTTTTTCGGGTCGCTGTCCTCACATTCTACTATGGTATTTATTGGTGACTGTGTGTGTATGGCTTCAAAAGACGATACATGAGCTGGTGAGTGACATGGGTGTCGGTGAATGAGAGTTGGCTGCTGTTAATTCATTCACTTTATTTTAAAATTCAGTGTGTACCACCACTGTTCGTGGGGGATAGCAACTGCATGAAAATAGCGAAAGTCTGCATTTAATTGTCGGCCACTAAAATGTATTTGGTGAGAAATAATGAACAAGTAGGAAATGGGTGGATGGATGGATGGTTTACACTTGTTCCAACAAAAAGCAAATAGTGTTCCTTTGCGATTTTTTTTTTTTAATTCAAAGAGCAGTTTTGCTTTGCATTTAATACATGTTTTTAATGATGAAGACAGATTAATCAATGCCCATTAAATCGGAAAACGTAGGACACTCACAGGTAAATGTTGTCAAAAGTGCCGTCCTTCTCGCAGATGTTGAGCACGTGGTTCAGCATCTTTGTACCTGCGGGTGGCAAAACAATTTAAAAAATAAATAAAACACTTAAGACAAGGAAAAAAAAAACTTTTCCTCCATTTTGTGTGGCTCACCAATGCCGAGTCTCCGGTAGGGTGCGAGACAGCCCAGTGTCATGATATACAATCGCTTCTGGTTCTGAGAGTGGTCCACTCGGCAACACACGGCGCCCACCGCGATGTCATTAAAGTATGCTGCCAAATGAGAACACCCCCCCAAACTTCAATTTAATCATCCTTTCCAAACTGTACATTTTTGAGGTGTTCAATCGGTTAAGTTTTCCGCTGTACATTATAAAAGAATAACAGACATACAGTATGTTCCAACTGTTTGGGGGGGAAAAAAAACGTTAATTGTGGTTGTCCCTTACCGAGCTTGGCAAGCTCGCCCACCTCGAGCACGTCCTTGTAGAACTTGTCGTTGTAGCTGACGGGGAAGATAACCTGGTTGAGGCGCTTCAGCTGCTTGATGTTGTGGGGCGTCACGTCCCCCAGCTCGATCCGGCTACTGGAACAACAGCAAAACGGTCAAAGGGCTGACACAAAGCCCCACATCAGCGCAGTCGATCAGTGTGCTGTGCTTTTTCTTTGACTTTTTGGGGAGTGAGATGACATCACCAACGGACAGAAACAAGCGACCACAGGAGAAAAATCTGAAATTATCATTACATCATTATAAAACAATGACGAGTTTTGCTGTGTTGTAGTTTTACTATGAACTGTGCCCGTGTCGTGAAAATATGCGGTGCAATTTTGTTGATTTTTATTTTATTTTTTACAAACAATGGCTCTAGTGTGAATGTATTGCGCACACAACAGCCTTAGTGAACGCTCACCATTCTCTCTCTCACAAACACAGTTCCACTGACAATGCAGGAGAAAGGTGAGGAAGAACTGAACCCATCCATCCATTTTCTATAGCGCTTGTTCTCATTAGGATGTCGACTCAGCTGCAGTTTAAGCAAGCTGACTTAAACCGTGGACTCAGATATGCTTACGGGCGTTCTGAAAGGTTTTCAATGAACATACCATGCAAGTAGAAGAAGTTGGGGCGGGGGAGAACATGTCAAATTCACACAGCCGAGTTTCGAACCCGCAAGAACCACCAAGCCGCGAGAAGAACCCCCTTGACCAAAAACGCACGCTTGTCATTGCTGACATTTAGTGACTACATTCCAAAGTCCAGAATTAACCTTTGACGTTACTTTATTTGGTATACACAGAAACATAGTGCGGTTTCCTCATTAATTAGTTAGTGAGTGAATTCAGTAAACCAACGTTCACTTTACCCGCTGTCTAATTAACGTGGGGGGAAAAACGCACATACGTAGGTTAGTTACTGCTCGCTAGTTCGAAACAGCCCCAAGCATTCCACACGCAGCGGCTTGAAATCGGCGGGCAATCGGCGATGACGTTCGGTCATCAACGGCGCTGTCGCGGGCTTCTTTTTATTCATCCACCCCCGGCTCTGGTATCGAGTTTAAAAATAGCTTAGCCGGGCTAGGCTAAGCTAGCTAGTTTGGCTAGCCTCGCCGTCTCGTCCCCCGGTGATAAAATGCAGTCGGCAACGACTTGATTCGCAGCTTGACAAGCGAATACTCACCCTTTCATCCTAAACGGATATAATTTTCACCGAGTCTCGACTTTAGCGTTGTAATTGGCGGGCACGGGGAGATTTGACAGAGTTGGGGTCGGGGATGCCTTCTCGTTTTACCCTCCACATGTAGCTCTTTGCGACGGTTAGCTTAGCCGCCGCACCGCTTTCCAAGATTGTGGGGAGACTGTCAACCCTGACCCGGCGCACGCGCACTGGCAGCATCGCGCACGCGCACTAGCGGTAAAACTACTATCGCCCTGATTTTGTTCTGTCAGGGTGTAAACTACAGTAAAAGTTTTTGTTGGTTGTGTGTGCTTCTTTCGAGCGTTTAAAATATTGGAACAACAGTCACTAGTTTTATTAGGACACTTGTGAGAATAAAAGGGAAAAAGATAAATTTGTGTGTATGTGCGTGTGTTTAGTAGAGTTTTATGAAATTGTCATAGTGAACGATTAAAAGACTACAAATCAAAGTGTTTAATAAATAACAACTCTAAATAAAAATAAACTGTCCTTCAAATTAATTCATGATTCATTTAACTTTATGCAAAGCATAAGCCCAACCTATAAGACCAAAACAATTACATATTATAAGTCTCATATTGTTTATTGTAACAGATTAATGTATTGTTTGTGCTTGTTTTAATAAAATAAATGGGATGACCACCATGAAAAATAATCGGATATTAAACCGCAGTTTTAAGGAGGAAAAAAATTGCAGTTAGATTCTTTTAAAAAAAAATCATTCAGCCCTTGCTAGTAAGTAGGTTAAGACATCATACATAGAATGAGAGGAACTGCTAATGTCTTTTAGTGACCTGTCAATGCCCTCTCTTAGGCTGAGACTCAAAAACATACATAAAATAACATTTAAAAAAATAAATATAAAACAGAGCTTTTAGGAAAAACAAGACAAAGAAGGAAAAAAAAGAGGAAATGTGTACTGTTCATCCCCTTTCAATACAAAACCCAGCAAGCATTAGAGCCAGTCATGGAAGATTTTTTTTTTTAATCTTGGATCACTCCTGTTTTTTAAATGCCAGGTACAACTAAGTTTGAAACCAACTCATCCATTGGTACTTCTAAATAAAAACACTGAAAAGAGACACATCATTTATGCAGTTAAAGTCCATGGTTCAAAATGAGCGCTAAAGTCACGACAGTCAGATTCATTTCTTGAGCGACTACATTTTGGCTCAAGCGTCAGTGCATAAATATTAGTCACGTGCTCGAGTTGCCTTCGCGACTTTCGAAAAGTCACTTGGCCATTTGTTCAAATTACATCATCATAAAATTAATATACATTATTCAATAGCAATAAATTTCGAAAGTGATATCCAAGCGTTAGAGAAAAATATTCATAGTGGATTGATTTTGTTTCTTGCAGTTCCGGGGGATGATCCAAAATGGCGGCCCGAGCAGCGGCAGCTTCCGTCCAGTGAATGAAGTCAGCTGACCTCTGTCTGCTGCTGTCACGCACTCCATCGCGCGTCGTTTTCTCTCGAAGCAAGACAGCAAAACAGCCGCTTCGCGACCACACGGTGAGCCACATATATTCTTACGACAACCTGTCGACGTTTAGACACCGTCGCGTACGCAATTTAATTCAGAATTGCTTGTTATTTTAAGGCTAGCAACCCATTGCGGCAAAAATGCCGGGGACCCCCTGTTCTGTCTCAGGCCGAGAACGACTCACATTGTGTCAGTGTTACCGAACAACCTTATTATTGTCATATGAACATAAAGTCTAAGCAAGGGGGTGGTAACGGGCTTATTTTGAAGGTTATTCGCTGTAATTACAGTTGGCGACATGGTTGCGTCAAATGAATCGGGCAACAAACATGTTGTGTCATAACACTCGTTAGAAATAATACGAATTAGCCCATTTCCAAACGGGTTAATAAGCCGAGTTCAAAACAGGTTAACTCGTTTTGAAGAAGCTTTCCAATTGACACCAGGATGTCAGGACTGTGACGCTTACATGTAAAATTCTAATCACATGGTATTTACCTATACACGCACACACTCCCTTCAGTTTAAGAAGGACACATGACCAGCTGTACACCTTTTCACCGAAGTACAGTGATGACGAGGTATAATTAAATATAAACCATACTAAAAATGGGCATTGCTATCTTCCCCATTCACAGTCACAGTGTGCACGCTCAATGCTCATTTTCCACTTCCTTATCTGGCCAGTAAGTCATGTGCCACGGTCACATGATCATCAAGCATTGTGGTTTTGCTCACTGTCCTTATGTGGAATGCAAGAAGGATTATGATGATATGATCAAGCAAACACACACATGAAAGTACCGCTTGTCAATATTTGCAGGTACAATTATTCATTATTATTGCTGCAGTTAGATCAATTGCCTTAATAGTGCCGCCTTCCATGGACACTAGACAAGCAGTCTCCCAGGCCAAGAAGGAGGGACAGTGAAGGTCACGGATAAAGTGTTTAAGGGCCACAACTGATGCACATTATTCCTTTTTTTTTTTTTCTCCTGGTTAGAAACAAGTGAAAATGGACACATCCAAGCTGCCCAAGATCCGAGATGAGGACAGAGAGAGCCAGTTTGGATATGTGCATGGAGTCTCCGGACCAGGTTACTGCCGCACTGTGTATTGTTTCTGTGGTCCAGCATATTCCTAAAGCCCGTATTTTTATTTTCTTTGTTTATGTATAATTTTTTTTTCTTCACTTTAGTGGTCACAGCGACTGCCATGGCAGGTGCAGCCATGTACGAGCTGGTGCGTGTTGGACACAGCGAGCTGGTGGGAGAGATCATCCGGCTGGAGGGCGACATGGCCACCATCCAAGTCTATGAGGAGACGTGTATCCTTGTTGAAGGCCAGATGTGAACTATGCAGTCTCTATATCCGCTCGGTTAGATGCTCTGGCTGTGCATCTCCATCACAGAAGCTGATGCGATATCCATCCCCATGCATTTCAATTGCGATACTATCTGATCCAATCCAATTATGCTCCAAAATGGTTCACTTCAATTATAATACGATACAAATTCACTCCAATCATGATACATGTTGACATCATATCATATGATGCTAATTTGTAACCCATATTTCACAATGAGGAAGAGTCTCTTTGTATTTCCCTGACCTTGGAACTCAGCCGGCGTGTCCGTCGGCGACCCGGTGCTGCGTACCGGCAAGCCGCTCTCCGTGGAACTGGGCCCGGGAATCATGGGCTCCATCTTCGACGGCATCCAGCGACCCCTGAAGGACATCAACGACCTCACGCAGAGCATCTACATCCCGAGAGGCGTCAACATCGGAGCCCTCAACCGAGACATCAAGTGGGAATTCTCCCCCGTCAAGAGTCTGCGGGTACGTGGGCGTGGGGATGGTGGCCCACCAGCAGCGTTTTATTTTATTTTTTTAAAGAATTTGGGGCATATGTTTAAAAAAAAAAAAAGTGTGTATTTGTAGGCCTTTTATGTCCTATGCTCTGCCGGCGAGTTGATTCCCATGGATTTTTCTACTTCTCTGTGTTAGGTTGGTAGTCACATCACAGGTGGCGACATCTACGGGATGGTGTACGAAAATTCCCTCATCAAGCACAAAATCATGCTCCCGCCCAAAAACCGAGGCACTGTGACCTACGTGGCTCCGCCTGGAAACTATGACCTCTCCGTGAGTTCCCCACATTATTTTTGGTTTGGAGGAGACAAACAAAACCATTCTCAAAGTGTTTTAACCCTTTCATGCACAAAAAAAAAAAAGATAACCAGTAACCTGCTAACCTGATAAGATGTCCACTGTGGTAACCGCTGTCCCTGAAAGGGTTGATAACACGTCAGTGACATTTCTTCCAACCGCGCCATTCAGGACGTGGTGATGGAGCTGGAGTTCGAGGGTGTGAAGGAGAAGTTCACCATGGTGCAGGTGTGGCCCGTCAGACAAGTCCGGCCCGTCACGGAAAAGCTGCCCGCCAATCACCCGCTGCTGACTGGACAGAGAGTCCTGGACGCCCTTTTCCCGTCAGTCCTTTGAAATGTTTTTTTCCCCCCGTCGTGAAGACGCAGCGCTCCTCCTCCATGGATCTCTTGAACCTATTGCTTAAATTCCAGGTGCGTGCAGGGTGGGACCACAGCCATTCCCGGCGCTTTCGGCTGCGGGAAGACCGTCATCTCCCAGTCGCTGTCCAAATACTCCAACAGCGACGTCATCGTCTACGTCGGCTGCGGCGAGCGCGGGAACGAGATGTCAGAAGTGCTGCGAGATTTCCCCGAGGTGGGAAACGTTGCCAGCTACCAGTTCATGTCATTATCACTATTGTGTGTTTTTGTTCTTCATTCCCATCCATTTTCTCTCGCAATTGTCATCATTACTTGAGTCTACAAACATTTGATAGCTGCAGTACTATGTTGCGCATTTGTTGCCGGGCAGGATTGGCGGGGCGCAACCGGTTGTGTGCCAAACCCCACCGGGACAACAAAAGAAGCAAATAAATAATAGCATCTCCAAATTTTGGAGGTGTTTCTCGATTTTTTGGCACACGTGACGCTCGGGAAATAAAAAAATGTATGTTAATTTTGACGTGGAAAATTGACATGAATGACACCGACTTGATGCTTGATTTTGAAAAGCAACAACATACCGCCTAGAAAAAGCAGTCGAAAAGGAAAAAAATCAAATTATCTGTGCACAATAGAAAACCGCAAGACAAAAGAAATCGGTGTCGTCTTTCTCAAATGGCTTTCAAAACAATTGTGAACAAATGCAATCCTAACTGTCGTGTTCTTGCATCTCGAGGTGCCACGATTAATCGACAACTGATGGATGATCACAATCGATCATTTTTGATCATCGATTCATAGTTTTGATACCTTTTTCCAAATCCTCAGATGATGATTCTTTTTGATTTTATTTTTTTAACAGATTCATTGACAAAATAATGGACAGATTAATCGATGAACAAAATAACGGTTCGTTCAGTGAATGAGGCGATACGGTTGCCCAGTGGTTAACACGTCTACCCCGCAGTTCTATTTGAATCTCAGTTCCGGCATTTTTGTGTGGACATTTCTCTTGATACGTTTTTTTTTTTTTTTTTTTTGCCTTCCCCATATAGCTGACCATGGAGGTGGACGGCAAGACTGAAAGTATCATGAAAAGAACAGCTCTGGTGGCCAACACCTCCAACATGCCCGTAGCTGCCCGAGAAGCCTCCATCTACACGGGTACATGCTGGCAGCCATCATAAAAGTCCTCCATCACTCTTTTCTTGATGGGTTTGCTCTGTTTTGTATTTGGGGGACAGGAATCACGCTGTCCGAATACTTCCGAGACATGGGCTACAACGTCAGCATGATGGCCGACTCCACCTCCCGTTGGGCCGAAGCTCTCAGGGAGATTTCGGGACGTCTGGCTGAGATGCCCGCTGGTAAGTGCGGAGACTGCTTGGTTAAAAAAAAGGAGAATTAAAAAAGATTCATGATTGATATGATCCTATACGTATGAACGAAAACCACACAAGATACAATTTATCCAGTGTAGGTGTTTCTTCACACTGCCATTAAATTGGTTGAGATTTATTTTTTTTACTTTACAAAACAATCTAAAAAAAAGATGTGATTTTGCTTTTTACATCCAAATTCCGTATTTTATGTCAAGAGGGAAAAAAAACAAAAAAATTTCAGTGTAGTATTCGGCCGATTTTATTTTACAATGTTGTTTAAAAAACATGTTTAATTATATGAAATAGCCAACACATTTTATGACATATATAATTACATAAATAAAAAATGTATTAAAAAAAAAAAAGAAAATTGCTGTTGCATTCAACTTTCTTGAAAAAAACTGACGGCAGTCATTTTTTTTTCTGAATCGGACAAAAATTTGTTTTTGTTCTTTTCAAACACAAGCTAAATTTGACATTTTATTATTTTTTTTATCAATTCATTTTGCTTTTATTGTACTGTATATTTCAATAATATATTGTATAGCTTCATCAAAAATCTAAATTTAAATCTTTATTTGTCTGACAGTAGTAAAATGTGCAGATTTTATATTTGGTATCACTTTAAATTTAATATAACAAATTCTTCCTTTGAATATTTTACATGTTGAGATTCTCGTGGATTTAAGATATTTTGCTTGTATGGAGTATTTGATTTGCAAAATCAGAGTGGCCCTAAGGTGGAGCCAGTGCATCAAAGTTGAGAAGTGGATGAAAATAAGCCCTGTGTTGCTGTCTGCAGACAGCGGCTACCCGGCCTACCTGGGAGCCCGTCTGGCCTCCTTCTATGAGCGTGCCGGAAGGGTAAAATGTCTAGGAAACCCCGAGAGGGAGGGCAGCGTGAGCATCGTCGGAGCGTGAGTAAAGAACCCCCCCAAAAATAAGCTATTAAAAATACACATTTTCTACAGGACGTAGAAAATGTGTTTGTGTAAAAATGTGTAAAAAATGTGTTTCTTTTTTTTCTAGTGTCTCGCCCCCTGGTGGTGACTTTTCTGATCCCGTGACCTCCGCCACGCTTGGTATCGTTCAGGTAACGAACCGTTCTCATCCAACGCCGATGGCTTGTGCTCCATGACGCTACGCTCTTTGACGTCCTGGCTTCTCGTGTCAGGTGTTCTGGGGACTGGACAAGAAGCTGGCCCAGAGGAAACACTTCCCCTCGGTCAACTGGCTTATCAGCTACAGCAAGTACACCCGCGCCCTGGATGAGTACTACGACAAGCACTTTGCCGAATTTGTGCCGCTGCGCACCAAGGCCAAGGAGATCCTACAGGAGGAGGAGGACCTGGCTGAGATTGTGCAGCTTGTCGGGAAGGTGAATTGCCGCCATTGCAGTTTTTTAAAAAAAAAAAAAGGGACTTGAGGGAAAAGTATTCACCTGATGACTTTGCTGTGGCAGGCGTCACTGGCCGAAACGGACAAGATCACGCTGGAAGTGGCCAAGCTGATTAAAGACGACTTCCTGCAACAGAATGGCTACACGCCTTACGACAGGTCAGATTTTTAAATAGCTAGCTAGCTGGCTGGCTAGCTAATTAGCTGGGTAGCTGGCTGCACGGCTAGCTGGCTGGATGGCTAGCTAGCTGGCTGACTAGCTGGATGGATAGCTGGCTGGCTATCTAGCTGGCTGGATGGCTAGCTAGCTGGCTGGCTATCAGCCAATGCAATAAGGCCTTATTGTAAAAGCCCAGATTCTCGCTGATGGTGGATTTATGTAACGCAGTCAAACATGTTGGCGAACATTGAAATGAATGAGTGAAGTGACCGCACATGCTCCCCCACAGATTCTGTCCCTTCTACAAGACGGTGGGCATCCTGTCCAACATGATCGCGTTCTACGACATGGCGCGCCACGCAGTGGAGACCACGGCGCAGAGTGACAACAAGATCACCTGGGCCATGATCCGCGAGCACATGGGAGAAGTCCTGTACAGGATCAGCTCCATGAAATTTAAGGTTTGGAGATTTTTATGTCAACTTCACACACAATGAATGTGAGCACAATCCCGAAATGATCCTACTTTATTGCAGTCAACTTTTTTCATTGGATTAATCACAAACTTCTCGTTGCATCAATGCAGGACCCGGTGAAGGACGGCGAGGCCAAGATAAAGGGCGAGTATGCGCAGTTGCTGGAAGATATGCAGAACGCCTTCCGTACTCTGGAAGAATAGATGGGTTTTTTTTTTGTTTGTTTTGTTGTTGTTTTTCCCGGTCTCCAATCCATCACATTCCGCCTTTTGTGCTTCCCTGTTGTGCGCGCGCGTGTATGCAACTTCATTTGGAGGTCAAAGAGAAAAGATGTACTGTATTTGTGATTATTCGGTGCCTCAAGTAGGCGCACTCTGGATCCCTCTGCATGATCTTAAATTATCGTGTGGGCCTTTTGTTTACATCTTCATCATCATACGTGTGTGTGGTTGCTCTTTTCCATTGTACACAAATCACACGCTATCATCTCTGTACAGAAGAATTATGAACAGAATATGGAATGAGATGAGTCTATTTATTGTGACGTTTTTGACAAAACTGTGTCGTTTTGTTTTACGCTTGTGAGCGTGTGTATTTGTGTTGTGTACTTTGGCCGCGTGGATGCCTGTACGAGTCCGACAGCTCCCAAGCGATTAAACGTGCGGGCTTGAAAACAGAACAAAAGGATAAACTGGTGTCTGCCTTTGTTACTCTTCGACTGGTCTCTCCGCATGTCTCACATAGTTTTGAAGTGTGAGATTTAAGTACCTAGCAGGTGATGAGGAAGTCCTAAAAAATATCATGCAAACATCGAAGGAATGGTGGTGTTATATATTATGAGAATTTGGCAGGTTTTAGTAATGTTGAATATTGCGGTGTGGACCTGATCACTTGCACTCAGGGGTCTGGTGTAGCCCAGGAAGCGCAGGTTAGAATACCCCCGTCTGTTCAAAATGGATTCCTCCATAAATGTTTCCAATGAGCAGGCAATCACACTTGAAGGTATGAGCTGCACCTGCAGACTAAACAAAACGTGTACAAAACCCCCTCCACCTGCAAGCGTTTCCCCAAACAAAACAAATAAAGACAATTGGGAGTAGACAAACTGGGAGCGTAATCTCGTCACGCCATCCTGAATGGGTCCACTCCGAGTCAGGTAGGTTGACAATTTGTCTCTTGTCGGGTCATGACTGGTTGTTTCGGGTTTGGGGGGGTGTTTAGATCCACTTGGAGCGATAACTGTCGTCTTTCAACACAGAGACCGATAAAGAAGTGTTATTGTTTAATTCCACGCCGAACAAACGGCTTTAGGGTAAGCAGGACCTGCTAAACAAATTACTGTGGTGTACCAAAAACGTTTTTTTTTTTACAAAGACTCCCCATTCACGTTGTTCGGTATTGTTTTTTTTTTTTTTTTGCTCATTTTTATGTACACCAATAAGACGCTTAGCCTGACGATAAATGGTATGCCAAATACTTTATAAAATTTAATAATTTAACCCGAAAACTAACAAAGAAATGTACTTGTGTCAAAATATAATACGTTATACGAGCGCTCTATGAATTCACTAAATAGTATCTAATACTGAGATACATTCATCAATCCAACAAAATTAAAAAATACGAGCTAGCATTAGCATTTCAGTACTCGATTTAGACGTGTCCGTGGTTCGTAAAACCAAATTGTACGTAAATCGGAACGAGTCGTAATCCATCACAATGAAGAAAATCGTTTTATGAAAAACATTCATAGACCATACCTGTAAAATAATAAAATGAAAAGCGGTAAATATGGCGAGAACTAAGCGACATTTCTTGTGCATCATGAACACTTATTTATTTGCTACCTCAAAATATCGAGATCGGCGTAAACCGAAGACCCCCCTGTAAAGTGTACCCCAGTAAAAGTAATTCGGCATTAATTTTTTTTATCAGTTTTTCGCTACTTGCTGAAAAAAATATTGTATATGCGATTTGTGCACACGTCCCCACATTAATTAGTATGAAGTGAGTTGATCTTACTTTTAGAGAAAAGTAGTCATTTGCCACCATTTTGTGGCATCAATAGAAAATCGCAGTACAGCATTTTTTTTTGGGGGGGGGGGGTTGCAATTACTTCTACCCCCCATGGATATCAAATTGTTCCGTCACTTGTTGCTTGCCAGAGTTCATGGGACAAAATATTTTTTAAAATATGTATTATCCAGACCTATTCATGGTAACCTTACCACGACACAATCTACTGGCTCTGGTGGCGCTCTCCACACTTGGCCCAAATACAAAATGGTAGAAAGTGTAAAGGTTTATAGAGAGTCAAAATGTGTGTGCGTTTGTTTTTCCATGCCGTCAAACCAGTTGGGTTGCAGTTCTAATGAATTCCCTCAGGGCTCGGGCCGTGAGATGTTTGATGACATTCACTTTAGAACTCATTAGACAGAGGTTTCCAAGTCCTCCACTTAAAACCCCAGCGGAATTCTTCACGGTGTCAAAACAAATGGCTCTTACACCTAATAGGATCTCTCTCTCTCTCACTCGCTCACTCATACACGCACACAATTTTTTTTTTTTTGTACACGCACAGCGCGCCAGAGCAGATGGACCAGCTTTCAAACTGGTCTGGCGTGGGAGATGACATCACGGACGAGACAACGTCTTTGATAGAGGATGAGGTCTCTGACGAGGAAGGAGAGGAGGTAATGATACAAAAAAAAAAAAACAACAACAAAAGGAGGTGAAAATATTGTTAAGCACGTTAAAACTTGAAAAAATGTTATGACCTTAAGAGGATATACTGTATGATGTAAACTGACCTTTTAATGTGAGTGGTGGGTCTCTGGAGTGTGATCCTGTTGTGGGGAAATCAAACCTAAAAAGGTTTGTGTTGTGTCTATAACATTGTACAATATAAAAATAGAGTATCAACATCATTAAACCGCAATATTAGTCATTTGTATTATGTCTATTTGTGTTGCTCCACTCTTTGTGTTCAAATATCTGTTGCTTCTATCACTGCAACTACTGATGCTAACCCGTTAGCACATCAGTGATGTTTTGCGTATTTGACAGCATTAAGCTAAGAGGACTTTTGTAATCTTTGTTGTTTTATATAACGCGACTTGGGGCTCGACAAGAAACACGACCCCAAGTTGTCATGGCAATGGAAGGCATACTCTGCATTGGCCCCACATTGATCTTGCTCCTTGGGCTATTATGATAAAAGCATGTCACAGACCTGTTAAGACACCTGGCAATGATCTTAAATTTGTGAAAAGAATGCCAAATATGTCTCCATTTTGTCTTTCAGAGCTCAGACAATCAGACGAACTGTATCGGTGTGCCATCGCCCCCCGTGCCCACCTACAAACAGAGGCTGGATGACTTCCGGAGGTTGTTCAAAGATGTGGCGAGCTCAGATATACTCCTACTTGGTGAGTGTCACGTTTGGTGTCAGCAAAAAAAAAAAAAATACAGCAAATCCCGGAAGAAATCAAAGCGTCATTGAAATAATGTCGTTTCCCTTTTTCGATAAGAGAAGGGGAATAAAATTAGTGAAAATCAGGACCTATTTATGTTTGTCCATGTGTGTGTGTGTGTGTGTGTGTGTGTGTGTGTGTGTGTGTGTGTTCTCAGACTACCCGTGTGCTCTCCAGCGAGACATACTCCTGCAGGGGCGTCTCTACCTCACCCACAATTGTCTGTGTTTCTACAGCAACGTTTTCCGTGGCACTAAGGTAATAATAATGATCTTGTCACACACTTGAATCATGAAAGGTAGCGGAAAATCGAATAAAAATGTTCTTCACAAGAATAGTTTGGATGTTTTTTGCCACCCCCCTGCGCCCCCCACTGGTCTAAAGACGGTATTCGTGTTAATATTGCCTTTGTGGAATAAATGAAGCACAGATTTATATATGATAGGTTAACAATTGGCCCCTCTTGGATGAAGCGAAAGGGCAGCCATCTTACGTTGCCATTATGACTGGCAACATCTGTTCGGTTCTTGCTGAAACACTCTTATCAATGCACAAACAATGACAGAGACCAAATCGCAATAAGAATACTTTTTTTGTCTTTTTTGCCCTTTGATGTGTCCCCTCTGCAGATTAGCCTGGCCCTCAAAGACATCAGCCACATGAGCAGGGAGAAAACGGCGCGATTCATACCCAACGCCATCCAGATCTGCACCAGCAAGGAGAAGGTGCGAATCTCTTAATCGCAATCGTGACGGAGAGGGCTGACGCCGATTTATCTGCAACCCGATCAGTGATTTGCGTGTGGGTTTGCACCCTCCCTTCCCTTCCCTTCCCTTCCCCTCCCACACGCAGCTCTTCTTCACTTCCTTCTCGGCGAGAGAGAAAAGTTTCAACGGGGTTTTCCGCCTGTGGCAGAACGCGCTGCTGAACAAGGTAAAGCCCACCACAGCTGACTCAGTCGTGCTCGTATTACCTCCGCCAAGGAAGTTGTATTCTCACTGCTGCTTTTCCCCTGCACTGCCATCTGCTTGTTTCATTTTTCTTTTTAACTTAAAAATTGGACTGGCGGGAAACGATAGCAATAGAGGAGAACGGGGAAACGGACTGAGAGCAGCAATGTAACTGCTGCTGCTGCAGCAAAGTGGAGACTGGGGAGTATGGTGCAACAGGCTAAGCTAACGTTAGCATGTGTGTTTATGTTTGTCTTTGCATCCACTCATGCTACAATGATGAATTTGCATGACCGGTACTCATTTACGTCAGACATTTTGGGTTACCTACTTTTGCCAGTGGAATAAGCATTAATGGTGCAATCGCATAAGTACAGAATATGTTCCGGCTACCTCGTCTATAAAGTATTTAAATTTTCTTTCCACATTTCTGTTGAAAAAGGATATATTGCGTTTCGGTTCGAATATTGGTAAATTATGGAAAATTCCAGCTGCACCTCTTGTGTGAAAGGGACATAATGACATTTAAAATGAAACCAAAAAAAAAACTCACTGTAAATTCCCCAATAAATGAAAGATAAGATAAGAAAACCTTTATTAGTCTCGCAATGGAGAAATTCAAAATTCACAGCAGCAAAGTTATGAAGGAAGAAGTAGAAGAACAAAATATAAGAGCTGCTGGAAAGGCAGCCACTCTCTCAAGAAAGATTCTCAAATGTGTATTAAAGATATGTAAACATCATGACACTACATGAAAAGAGATGATCTTGTATCCAATAAATAAAATATTTGCCGTAACATTTGACTTTATTACTTCGCAATGATGTTTAGCGGCTTAAGTCGGCTAATAGTACAGTAATCACGTTTTTTGCTAGCTTGGCTTCCAGTCGGACAATTGACAGAAACTTTCAACTCGGACGTCTGCTGCTGTTTCAGGACTTTCAATGCTCTGTGCAGCAGCGAAAATATCTGGCCAACAAGGCGACACGGTCTTCGCGCGTCGGTGCAGGTCAGAGAGTACAAGAATAAGCTGGTCAGAGAGGAGCGTAGTGGTTAGCCTCGCTAGCTAGCGCTGGCTATTCTGCCCCCCACCCGTCTTAAAAGATTCAAATCAACAGTCTCTCGGCACTAGATCAACAACATCATGACTTATTTGACTTCAACTCGATTTAACAACTTCTTAGTCGAAAAAAAAAAGAAAAATGTCGCAAACTGAATCGGCAGTGTTTCTCTCTGATATTCAATACACCAGTTTAGCATTTGTAGTTCTTTTTGTTTGTCTTTGTTTCTATGTAGAATTTTTTAAAAATGCAGGCAATTATTTTGGAAAGGAAACCTTGCTGCTATTCTCAATTGTCGACAACCTTACATCACACCCATATGATCAAAGTCCCCCCCAACTGGAATACAGAGTGCAACCATGTCACTTTACCCTGACCGATATAACCACCAGCACCTATCTTATCGGCCCAAAGTCCGTCTGAGACGGCTCCAGCTGGAGTTGTGCCGGTTTTGAGGTTGTCAGCGTTGTGAACAGCAAACAGGACAGGAAAATGGAAGTTACATGAAACATTTAACTCACAAATTGTCATTATGGGGATCCTCACCTAGCCTGTGAGTATGTGGATGAAGAAGGCATCTCTCATTTACAACCACACTGTTAATATTTATGGTCTTTTTACATACAAATGTTTACTGCATATATGACTGCGTTGTCGGTAATTTATTAGTCGCCCGCCAAGATGCTTGCCTAATTTTTGAAATACGTGTTATTTTAATTTTTTTCGTGCAAATGAGTAGTCATTAGATAAAGTAAACCTTTACTATTTTTTTTTCTTTAAAAATATTGTTAAAGGCAAATTATCACCTGTTTATTAGCCTCTGGCTAAGATGTTAGCTCAATCAAAATATATATTTTTTTCATCATTTCCAAATGATTCATTGGCTTGTAGCCGACGTGTGCACATTTTGAGCATGACGTCTCTGATGCACTGGTGAAAGGACACTTTTATTCTCTTCTCTTTCATCTCAAACTTCTTTAAACAACAAAGCGTGTGTTGTGTTTATTATTGTAACTGTTTTGTGAAGCGCTTTGTTACAGGTGCAGCTGTTGTGAAAGCGCTACAGTACATGAATCAGGATGTATTGTACTCGCTCTTTAATACTGTGTAGGTCAACCGAAAGTTTCACCGTAAAACTACTCAATGTGCCGTTTGACTGGTTTATTTATCCTCTTCCTGTTTGTGTAGTTGAGTAATATGCAACTATGCTAATTTACATGTTCAGTCCTTGCAAAGAAAATGCAGTCCGCTGCAATTGGTTGTGCAAATGTACCTAATGAAGTGACCGCCCCTATATTTAAATATCTCATCGCTGAGCGTTTTTTTTTTTTTGCCGTTGTATAGTGGATTCGCAGGTGTGTGAGAGAGAGAGGCAGTGGGGATTTGGAGGCATAAAAACACCCCCATGTAAAGTTCATTGACCTCAGAAGTTTCCAAAAAAGGGGCGGACCGGGTAATTTGCATGTGGCACACGAACATACATGGACTCTTGAGACAATTTAAATAGCGATACGAAAAATATCTGGCTATATTTGAGTGTCTTTTTGTTTGTATTTGAGTCAAGTGAAGAAAGTGAAGTGGGCGGTGTGTCCCCACTTCCGGGAAGTGTGTGTGTGTGTGTGTGTGTGTGTGTGTGTGTGTGTGTGTTGTTTTTTTTTCCTTGAACTTCACTTCACACTTTGACCGCCCGTCGTGCAACCGGCTGTGGGGAATTTTACCTCCAGCAAGTAAGCTTTTTTTAAATTTAAAAAAATAATAAAACGCTTTATTGTTCAATTTTGACGTGAATGCGGGGAGACCAGCGTTGACGCGAATGTGCTTTTTTTAACACGTGCCGTGTTGCATTAAAGTTCAGCTGCTACTGAGAGACTTTCGAGTGTTGACACTTGCTTGTTGGACGTCAACTTGCATAAATGCTGACAGACCAACACTCAAACGCCTTAAACATGATCTGAAACTGAGCGGTAAATAACACACTTGCTTTACATATCCCATAATGTCGGTTACCGGTATGTGTAAAATGCTAAGAAGCAAGACTGCTGCTATACTGTATTGTGAAATGCTCAGACACAGATGCAGCTTTGACTCAAA